CTCCCCGCACCCCCGACACCGCCGAGCGGGGAACCGGGACCCGCCCCGCCCCGCCCCGCCCCGCCGGCAGCGCCGGGACACGGCACCGGCACAGCCCACACCCGGCCCTCGCAGCGCGGGATGGGGCCAGCATCCCGGTACGGCTGCGGACATCCCGGTACTGGTACCTGCATCCCAGTATGGGAACCTGCATCCCAGTACAGGTACCTGCATCCCGGTACAGGATCCTGCATCCCGGTACGGCTGCAGACATCCCGGTACTGGTACCTGCATCCCAGTACGGGAACCTGCATCCCAGTACAGGTACCTGCATCCCGGTACAGGATCCTGCATCCCGGTACGGCTGCAGACATCCCGGTACTGGTACCTGCATCCCAGTACTGGTACCCACATCCCCATATGGTAACTTCATCCTGGCGTGATACCTGCTTCCCACTGTGGGGTCTACATCCCAGTATTGGCACTCACATCCCAGTACTGGTACCCAGATCCGGGCCCAGCTCCTGCATCCCAGAGCAGCTCTGTGCATCCTGCTGTGGGTACCTGCATCCTGGTCCCCCTGTCCCAGCACAGGATCTGCATCCTGGAATGAGAACCTGTGTTCCATTTCCAGTACTGCATCCCAACACAGGTACACGTATTCCTGTACCCACATCCTGGTACATGGCTTTGCAGCTGCCCCCTGCTAGAGGAATCCATATCCTGGTACACTACCAGCACCCCAGAATGGACACCAGGGTCCCAGAATGGACACCAGCATGCCAGCATCAGGTACCTGCTGAATCTGGCACAGGGGATTGCAAACATTCCCTTCATTCTGTCCCTGCACCCACAGGCCAGCACAGTCTGGGTACCTCCCCCATGGCACAGGGGTCACAGAGCCTCTGCTGCTGTCCCTGCCCCAGCACAGTGCTCATGGGACAGCCTGGCACTGGATCCTGGAACTGGCACCTCTGTGGGACGTGCCCAGTGTCACCCAGGCCAGGCTCCCCCGGATCCCCAGGCAGGGCAGGGGTGTCCCCAGGACCCATCCCCGGTACCATCCTCACTTCCAGAGCCGTGGCTCAGCCCCTCCGAGGTGCCCAGGGAGCTCTGGGCTCCCCTGCCCATGCAGGTCCTGCCCTGGGGACAGTGTGTGGCCACGGCTGGGTCCCACGGCCCCGCCCCAGCCCCGTGCCCGCCCTCCAGAGCTATAAATACCCACCCGGGCACGGGGCCGCGGCTCCCGGGGGACCCGGCCTGCTTTGCAGCCACCAGGGAGCACCGCGTGTCCCGTCCGCCCTGGGATCGCTCTGGGCAGCACGGCTGTCCCCCACCCTCCCTGTCCCTGGCTGCCCGTCTGGGAAGGGTCTCCTCTCCCTCTCCCACCCCTCAGCCCAGAGGGATCCCCCTCATGTGGGAGCAGAGTGGAGGGCAGAGGCTCTGGAAATTCCTCTTCTCTGGCTGCACCCACATTCCCTGTGCCCAGCGGCCGTGGCTGAGGCTGCAGGGACAGAAATAGCTGAGGGAAAAGCTGCCATGGGAAGCAGGAGCAGGGAGGGGAGGTGGCACAGCCCTGGGAGCTGCAGGTGCAGCGGGGAAGGGACTGCAGGGAAGGGGAGCCCCAAACCCCACACGAGGACGGGCACAGATCCACAGCTCCCAGGGCAGCCAAGGCTCCCCCTTCCCGTGGATCCCGGGCACAGAACCACGGGATCCATCACCTCCTCCTCTGTCTCTGCACCCTGGCTGGCACATGTTGTACGAGGATCCGTGTCCCCAAGCACCAAGGAGTCCTGGCCAGCCCCAAGGCTTGTCCCACCACACCACACCAGGCCCTAAATCCCTGTGATTGCCCTCAAAGGGTCAGCCCAGGCTCTCGGGGTGCCCCTGCTCCCCCTGCAGCCCGGGCAGGGACGAGGGTCCTGCTCCTCAGGTGACACAGGACACGCTGTGCAAGCACAAGGTGTGTAAAAATTTATTTTGCTGTAGAGAACAAACCTAAAACATTACAGCTCCAGCAGATGTGGAGCAGGGAGACACCAGGCACGGGCCCAGCTGGCAGAGCCACGCACGGTGGGCACAGGGAAGGACATTGAACAGAGGGATGTGGCCCTGGCAGTGCCAGGCACCAGGGGCCAGCAGCGAGTGCGTGCCCGACTGGCAGAGCAGCTCCAGCACAGGCAGGGACACCTGGCTGGCCACGCTGGGGACAGCAGGATGGGGACACCACCCTGGGGCTGCCCCTGGGAGAGACACCAGTGCTGCCCAGTGATTCCTCCATCCCCTCGCTGGCTCCAGGCCACGACAAAACATTTAAATAGACAAAACATGGAAAAAGCAGCTCTGGGTGCTACCCAGGATCTGCAGCTGCCTGGAGACCGACCCTGAGCGTGCTGGGGAAGGCCAGGCTGGTGGCACAGCCAGGCTGGTGGCACTGCCAGGCTGGTGGCACGGCCAGGGCTGATCCAGGCTCCCCTGGGAGGCCAGGAATGCAGGGATGGGTGCTGGCCTGGCTCTTTGGGAATTGCAGACAGGGACACTGTGGGACTCTGGCCCCAGTGGTGGTGAGCTGTCCCAGCAGATGAAACCAGCACAGGTGTGGGCAGGGGACAGGAGACAGGACAGGAGAGGAAGGAGCTTCCAGTGGTGCCAGGATGCAATGCCCAGAGCTCACACTCCAGACAGGCCCCACAGAAGGGGACAGCAGGTCACAGGGCCTAGGGCACAGAGTGGCACCAGCTCAGTGATGGCACTGCCACAGAAAGACTGGGCACACAGGGGGCATCCAACGCCCTCCCAGTCCTCACCAGGGCTCCTGGAGCCCTGCCAATACTGGTGGCCATGAACACTGGTGGCCAGGGGTGGGGAGGGGATGGGCCAAATGGGAGGCAGGAAAGGATGGACCCAGAGCCCGAGCCTGGCACGCTGCAGGGCTCACAAGATTTTCATGTAGAAACAACAGGAAGGAGCTCAGGACAAACCCTGGTTGTCACTGTGCCCCCTCAGCTCAGGACAGCAGCAGGAGGGGCCAGCCTGACCCCACACTGGGCTGGGTGTCAGTGCCTGCCCTCCCTCCCCTGCCGGCGCTGGCTGAGGGAAAGGGGGACAGGAGCTGGAGCTGTGCCCCAGGGAGCTGCAGCCATGAGCTCATCTGACAGCTCAGCTGCTGCTGGGGCTCCCACGGGCCCCGCGAGCGTCGTGCCCTCCAGAATTGAGGGCACCAGCACAGCCCTCAGGGGAGGGGATGTGCCCAGTCCAAGAGACACTGAAACACTCATGTTTGAGCTTAAAAACAAGCATTAAAAAAA